TTGATGAAAAATGGATAAAGAAAGGTGGTATATATGTATAATTCCCTTTTTTTAAAGGAAGGGAATTCTTATACATATTACAATATGGATAGCTGGGTACGTTGGTACATGCCTATAATCCCAGTGACTCAGGAAGCTAAGACAAGAGGATCACAAGTTCAGGTCAGCCTTCCCAACTTAGTGAGGCCCTAAGCACATTAGTGAGACCCTGTCTCAAAATAAAAAATAAAAAGGGCTGGGGATGTGGGATATGGAAGCCAAAAACAACAATATGAATGAACCTTGGAAATACTATGCTAAGTAAAATAACCAGTCAGTCACAAAAGAAGGAACACTGCATGATTTTAATTACATGAGCTATCTACAATATTTAAATATAAAAACAGAAAATAGGATTGTATTTTCTAAAGGTTGGGGGTAGAGGAACATGGGAAATTACTATTCAATGGGTACAGAGTTTCAGCTTTACAAGACAAAAATGTTTTGGAGATGGATGGTGATGATGGTTCTACAACAATGTAAATGTACTTCATACCACTAAACAGTACACTTAAAAATGTTAAAAGAATGATCAAAGTAACCAAATAGATATTTATCCTAGAAAGATGTACAAGTGGCCAATAAACACATGAAAAGACTCTCAGCATCATTTGTCATTACGGAAATGCAAATCAAATCCAGATCCTACTTAACCCAGAGGATGGCTACAATCAGAAACAGGCAAAAAGAAGTGTTGGCGAGGTCATGGGGAAGGTGGAACCCTCAGTCAGACCTGCTGCTGAGATTGTAAAATGGAGCAGCCACTTGGGAAAACTGTCCAGCAGTTCCCCACAAAGATTAAAATATAGCTGCCAAGTGATCTAGCAGTTCCACTCCTTAGTATATACACAAGAAAAATGAAAACATATCCACATAACAACTTATACACAAAGTTTTTACAGCAGCATTATTCCTAGTAGCCAAAAAAAGGAAGCAGCCTAAATGTTCATCAACTGCTTAATGGATGATCACAACATGGTATATGCATACAGTGCGTTACTATTTGGTTGTTAAAAGGAATGACTGATAAATCCCACAACATGGATGAGCATTTCAATGCATTTCATTAATGCAAAGTGAAAGATGTCAAGGCTCACAGGCTTCAGAATGAAACAGTCCAGGGTTGTTTTCCTGATTCTGGTCATTACAAGCTGCATACCCTTGAAGAGTTTTCTTTGAGCCTCTTAGTTTCTGTTTCTGTAATTTTTTCATGGCATAATAAGAGGACTGAACTCGTGGGATCCTAAGGATAAAATGCGTTAAAGTACATGCAACTCTGCAAACATAACACTCTCTCAATAAGATATAACTTCAAACATCATCATGATTATCATTGTGGTCAGGGGCTGGTTTCAGTCATGCTACACCTCTTTGTCAGCCATGGAGCTATTGGAGGGCTCTTGGTGTTGGAATGTCACTTTATAGTCTTTGAAATCAACTCTTCAGTCCCCCCCCCAAAAAGCTTTCAGGCACCCTGAAACTACTGTCCCTCAGCTCTCCTCTGCCAGGTTCCTACCCCCTTGTTCACTGTTGGAACAACCATTTTAAAGCCCTATCCAGCTGGGTGCAGTGGCACAGCCTGTAATCTCAGTGGCTTGGGAGGCTGAGGCAGGGGGATCACAAGCTCAAAGCCAGCCTCAGCAACTTAGTGAAGCCCTAAGCAATTTCGTGAGATCCTGTATCAAAATAACAAATAAAAAGGGCTAGGGATGTGGCTCATGGTTAAGCTCCCCTGGTTCAATCCCTGGTACAAAAAAAGGCCCTATCCAGCCCATTTCATAAAAATAAACAAAACACTTCTCTTTCAATCTTCTCTCTATCCTTTTTTTCCTCAATCGCTCCCTCAGTCCCATTGTCTGTGCCTGTATCTCCAGTGTACATATAACTTGCATTCTGCCATGCCATATTATCACAGCCTAATTATTCTTCCTACCCTTGAGACAGGGAGGTAAACTGGGGTCAGAGATTGTTCAGATAGGTTTTCTTTGTAGTTTATCATAACCATTCATGTGGCTTCAGTTGATTGCTGGAAATGATGAGTCTTCAGTGCTGACACCCTGTAAAACAGCAGAGGTCTGGCTTCACAGTGCCTTTTGCTGTTCTCTGTGGGCTTCAGAAGCATGCAGAGCAAATACCAAGATGCAAGGCCAAATCCATGACTAGGAATATTAAGGGATCTAAGGCGGCAGCAGCAGCATAGATGAAGTACAAATTCAGTCTGGATTTCGTCTCTGACATCAACAGGGGAGAAATACTGTAAACTGCTTTTCTGGCTGGCAAGGAGTCTAGAAATGTATATTAAACTATGCCAATGGTTTTAAAAGCAGATTTTGATTTCTTCTTGTTCTCTAAAGCGTGCAGAGCAATGCCAAAATAAGAATTTCCACTCAGCAGAAGCCCCCTATAATGGGCTTCCATTAAAATGTCTTGTTTTATGTGGTTCCCTTAGTTCCAGTATCTGTGCCCATGGAAATCAGAGAGATCAAAGACACTAATGGTTGTGTAAATACCAGGTGACCTCTTCTTGGTATTTCATATGTTCTTGATTTGATGACTGAGTACTTCCCTGCTAGTCATATTTAACAAAGATACCCTCTTGGAGAGTCCCAACATGCTCACTCTGCTGATCTTTATCCCTGGCTGTCTATGTGTTTTATCCAGTAGTTGTTTTGTTGTCATAGATCTGCACTACAACTATTGCTGTGGGTGTAAAATGGTGTGGCCACTATGGAAAATGGTAAGGAATTTCCTCAAAATATTTAAAATATGATTGCTGTATGATCCAACAATCTCAGTTCTGAATATATAGCAAAAGAATCAAAGGAAGATCTCAAGGATAAGCTGGGCAGAGTGGGGCACACCTGTAATCCCAGCAACTTGGAAGGCTAAGGCAGGAGGATCACAAGTTTAAGGACAGCCTCTGTAACTTAGAGACTCTGTCTCAAAACAAAAATTAAAAAGGATTGGTGATGTAGCTCTATGATAGAGCACCCCTGGGCTCAGTCCCCAGTACCACATGGTTGTACAGGCACACACATGACAGAGAGAAAGAAAGGGAGGGGGATGAGAGAGAGAGAATGAAAGAGGGACAGAGAGAACACACTTCACATACTCAAGTTCTTTGCACCATTATTTACAATAGCCAAGCAGTGAAAGAAACTTAATTGTCTATTAATGGATAACCTGATAAAATATGTTATGCACATATAATGGAATATTATTCAGTCTTTAAAAAAGAAGGAAACCTTGTCACATGCATAAATACTGAGGACTTTATACTAAGTGAAATAAGGCAACCTCAAATACTAGAAAATGTGGTAAATAATGTTAAATGCAAGTGATCTCTTTGTGTTTTTTCTTATTATAATATTAGTTTGTTAAATTATCTGAAATAATTTCAATCCTTTATTCTTAATTGCGGAAACCAGAAATTGCTTCTCTCCCTCCTTTTTTTTCAATATCCTCCCTTGCATTTAAAAATCTTTGTTATCATTCTCTCCCCATATGATTTTTTTCTTCCTCCATTTTCTTTTTCTTTGTCTTTTTTCTTTCCTCTTTTTCCTCTATCATGTCTCCTTTCTCTCTTTTCCTATTAAATCCTTGCCCTCTCATCTCCTACTTACCTCATTGTCTTCCCTTTTTTCTCTTTCCCCTTTTTATCCTCTCTTCTCTCTTTAAATTTAAGAACCCCATAAAGGAACCTTGGAGAGGTGTGGAACCACCACTGAACTAGAACCCATTGTCCCCACTAGAGGGAGACAGGCTGTACTTTCCTCTTAGTGGCCAGAGGTACAAATATCATGTCCTTTCCTTTGGAGGGGATATCTTGGCATGCCACAAACCACTGAATATCAAAAGCTTCATTGATATGATAGGTTATCTCAATCTTTTTGTATTTTTCTTTTACCCTCTGGATAAAGGTGTCTTACCAAGAACTCCATGTGCTAACTACTACTTGCTTATCTTGTTAAATTAACATGATATCACCATTATAGTAGACTAGTGTGATGCTTTAAGGGATGTCCACATCCCCCTGGACTATATGAAGCTAGAGGGCTGGCAAGATGAGAAATCCTGGGAAACCTTGGGAAAAATGAGAAATGCATGTTATTGTTTTGTCATTCCCATGTGAGAGTGAACTACCTCTGGCAATCTTTCCTGATAAGGATAGAAAAAGAACAGTATTCTCTAGATGTCAATAACCACATGCTATACCTTGAGATTCCATTCATTTTATCTAGAAAAGATACTATATACAAATCAACAGTTAAAGTTAGGGCTACTATTTGGTTGGATTTAGAATAGTCTACTATCATTTTTTCAGGATCTATCTGGTTTTTGTGATGCTCAGTGTGATGAACTACATAGTAATATCATGGGAACAACTACCCTACATCATTTAGGTGTCTAAGGGTGACACTGATTTCTGCCATTCAAAGAATTTTAACTCACCATTTTTTGGGGGAGGGAGTAAGAAGGCAGTTTCAATAATGCATGCTGTTTCATAAAGCAGAGGCCTCTTCCTTGTTTAAAAACAAGGGAGGAGAATACTAGCTTTGTATATGGAGGAGTGACCCACATTTGCAAGTCTGGAAAGGTCAGAGGAATTAGGTAGTCAAGACTTTTGAGGGCATCAACCCAAATTCACCAGTCTAACCTTAGCCAACTCATTCCTAATCAAGACTGTAACTTCAGCATATCAGATCTGATAGAATTCTACCTTCTCTGGAGATCTGTTACTCTTTATCTTTTCAACTTTATTGAGGTATAATTGACAAATTGAATACATCTGGTGTGTATGTGATGTTTTGATATATCCGTACATTGTGAAATGATTATCACAAATCGGCTAATTTATAATTAAATCTTAGCTGGTTTTCCCATTGCAAGGAGCTTAACATAAGGTCCTAAGCACCTTAATGTGCGTTAGTTTAATTATATCATCTCTCTCTCTCTCATAGCATGACTCAGAAGAGACCATGAATTCTGAATTGAAGATTTATGGAAGCAAACCCTCAATGTAGGGATGTGGATAAAGAAAGAAGAAGCAAGAGAAGAATGGCAGACAGAAAGTACACAGAAGAAAAACTCCACAAACTTGGCACTTTTCGTCCTGTTGCAGTATTTGATTCCATCTGCAACTATGTGCTAATAAACCAGGTTGTCACAAAGCCCCAACCTTGATGGGTGAAGAAACACCAATCTTTAGCCCTGTCTGGGCCCTGTGGTAGATGTAGATTTGTTTACTGTTAGCAGGGGATTCATGTCTTCCCTACCAGAATTCTTGGCCTAAAGATGTAAATAAGTTGTAAGTACACTAAGTTGCTCCTGACTTTGGTGCCATCATAACAAATCATTTTTCTCATTTTCATAAATGAATAATTACTCTGGCTCTCTGAGCAAAGCAAATCTGAACACTTTTATTAACAAATGAGTATGTAGAAATACTTTCTTGAAACCACATACCAGAAAGAAAACAACCAAAGCTGAAAGATTTTCACTAGATTACAGGCAGGGCTTGGGGAACCCCATGGGCCTTAACAACAAGTGATCAGATGGTCTTATTTTCTGGCACCTGATAAGCATATGTATAGGTAGCAGAAAGAAAAACAAACTGAATTTGCACCTCCCCTGTATGGAGCTGGGGATGGCTTCCTCCTGCTGTGAGTAGAGGGTGAAGGCTCTGCATGGGACTCCCCCTCTACCCCACACATAGGCATTGAAGAAGAAGGAAACAGCAATTGCCCACTCAGGCAGGTCTAGCTGCAGGCTAACTAAATCTGCATATGTGTATCACCTGCCTTCGTCACTTCCCTGCCTCTTTTCCTATCAATTTTCAGAGGTTTCAAAGCTGGAACTTTTGGAACAATGAAGAATCTTCCATCTTCCTTCAAAGGTGGCTTTGAATAAAACCTATTTTCCTACCAATTTGACTCCAAATATTTCTGGAGCAGTGAGAATTATGGGCTAGTCTCTTTCCTTCCCAGCAGAGGTCTCCTGTGTCTCCCCACCCCCAACAAAAGAATCTGTTCATCCCATGATGCTTTTGTTTTGCTGTTTTTGTTCCAAGTAAGAAGAATATGATACATCTGTTTAATCATTTATGATGTCTATCCTTACTACCACCTCTTCAGCTCAATTATTTCTCAAGACCATTGAAACACTCTTGTAATTGATCTTCCTTTCACCAGTCTCCTCACCTTTGAATCTCTTCTCCCATCTGGCCCAGATAAGTGCTTCTATCCCACAAGCCTACCCACAGCACTCCCTTCCTTAAATCCCTACACTTATCTAGGCTTGTTGGCACATGCCTGTAATCCCAGTGACTTGGGAGACAGGCAGGAGGATCACAGGTTCAAAGCCAGCCTCAGCAACTTAGCAAGATCCTGTCTCAAAATAAAATTGAAAGAGTCGGCTATATAACTCTGCAGTAGAGTGTCCTTGAATACTGGAAAAAAAAAAAAGACCTTTGCTTATTATATCAGCTTTTGGGAATCAGAAGTCTGGGCACATTCTAGCAGGGCCTTTGCTCAGGGATCTTATAAGGCCTCTGCTCAGGGATCTTATATGTAATCAAGCTGCAGTCTGAGGCTGCTGTCTTATCTGAGGTTCAACTGGGAGAAGATCTGCTTCCAATCTCAGGTGATTCTTGGCAGGATTCAATTCCTTGTAAGCTTCCTGAGGACTTCAATTTGTTCTTGGTTGACAGCTAGAGGCCATCCTCAGCTCCTTCTCCATATAGCAGCTTGCCTCTTTGAGGCCAGCAGGGGAGAAAACATCTTGATGACCATTAAAATCTTATGTAAGATAATTACATACATGTAATCATGCCTGTTCTGTCATCTGTGCCATATTCTATTACTTAGAAGCACTCAGGGTCCTGCCAGCCCTCCAGGGGGCAGAATTTTACAGAGCTGGGCACATCAGGAAGAAGAATCACATGGGCCAACCTAAAATCTGTCTGGTGCAATACATCACCACCTAGACTTAAAGTCACCATATTGTACAATTTCCTGGAGTACTCAGTAAATTTTTGCTAGATGAAACAGTACATAAACCAGAAGTAGATCACCTTAGGCACAAAAGTAGTTGAGGCATAGCATTATAGAAAGAATTTTGATATAGGGATCCAGGGTTTTATTTGTGTGGGTCTGTTGCTGTGACAAAATGCCTGACAGAAACAACTTAAAGCAGGAAAGATTTGAGCTCACAGTTTCAGAGGTTTCAGTCCATGGTTGGCTGGCTTCATTTCTATGGGCCTATGATGAGACACAGTATGAAGGCAGAAGGGCATGGTGGAACAAACTGTTAACCTTGTAGTGGCTGAGAAGGAGAGAGAGAGAGAGAGAGAGAGAGAGAGAGAGAGAGAGAGAGAGAGAGAGAGAGAGAGAGAGAGAGAGTATGGATGGGCTGGAAACAAGGTAGTCCTCAAAGTCACACCCCCATGGACCCACTCCCTTCAAGTAGATCCCACCTTCTACAGTTCTATCACCTCCCAATAGTTCCAACAGTTACATCAGAACCGATAGATTAATCCATTGATAGATAAGGTCAGAGCTCTCATGATACAAATGCTTCCCAAAAGCCCCACCTCTGAACATTGCTGCATTGGATACCTAACCTTCAATACAAGAACCTTTGGGGAACATTCCAGATCCAAGACACAAGAGTTTTCTTATTTACAAAATGAATGTCATAAACCAGATGATCTTTAATAACTTTTTAAAAAATCTATAAAAGTCTGAAATTCTGCCAGGCATGGTGGTACATGCCTATAATCCCAGAGATTTGGGAGGCTAAGACAGAAGGATGGCAAATTCAAGGCCAGCCTCAGCAATTTAGGAAGACTCTGTCTCAAAACAAAAATAAAAAGGGCTACGCTTGCAGCTCAGTGGTAGAGGGTCCCTGAGTCAATATCTTGGAAATTTTTTTCTTAAATTCTAAAGAATCTGGGGCTGTGGTTGTGGCGCAGCGGTAGAGCATGCACCTAGCATATGTGAGGTCCTGGGTTCGATCCTCAGCACCACATAAAAACAAATAAATAAAATAAAGGTATTGTGTCCAATTACAACTAAAAAAAAATGAAATATATAAAACAAATTCTTCAGCATCTATTTTCATCCTACCTTCATTCATCCCTGCCTTTTCATGACCTAGTAATAGCTAATGCATATATCACACTTACTTTGTGCACACATTCTTTTAAATGTTTGGATATTTTAAATTCATTAGAGGATAGGTTTTATTTTATGGATGAGACAACTGAGATTTAGATAGTTAAGTAACATCAATTTGACCCCAAGTTGTATGAAGTAACCCCTATGCAGTAGTTTATCTCTAAATGAAGCAGGAAAGAAAGAGAAGGAGAGAAATCTCCTTTACAAAGCCTGGCTTGCCATATTTAGGACTTCCTTTTTTCCAAGGATCAAATTGAAGGTTTATGCTCCATGCATCTGGGGAAAAGAAAACTAGAAAGTTATTCTAGTTCCTTCTTAAACCTGGCATCTGTTCAGAGCATAGAAGGGATATTAGTGGGACCAAAGCTCAGTACCAGCCAGCAATGAGAGTGGGAAGGAGAAGACTGAGAGGTTCTAATAGGGAATTAAAAGACTCAATGTGGAATCCCTCCGCCCTCTACTGCCCCAAGCAGTGACTGACAGGCACCATCTCCCTTAGGTCCTTTCTTATCTGTCTTGCTGAACAATGCTCTTTCCATGTTGGGAATTTCCAAGGAGAAAGAAAAGTAGGTGGGGGTCAGGCTGGTATAGACAATGGGAGGGAGTTGGTGAGAAAGGCAGCAAAGCAGAACATACCCAAGAGTGACAGTTTCCTGTTCATTAAATGATCAACTCCCTGACAGAACAGACTGAGTCAAAGTAAATCCTTATTAGGCCTGAACTGGACTAGCCTACTCCTGACACTTTGCTCTATAAGTCATTCTTTTATTTCTCTACTAGGCATAATCCTATATCAAAGAGCAAGGTGCATTCTGACTTTTTATTACTTTCCTATGAAGTGGTGGTTTCTGGTGCAGGGAAAGATGTAAGGCTAAATAACGCATTGTGATCTCTCAACCCCTCCGTATCTAAATTAAATAGAAAGTCAGAATCATGGCAAGCTGCCTACTTTGTCCCACCCTTGGAGACTACATTTTAGCTTTTATGGAATGGAATCAACAATTTAATGGAGAGGAATAAAAATTTACGTCCTTAATGATCACCTGGGAAAGAAGGAAAACGCTTGTCAACCTCTTTGACCCAGCCTACAGAAACAAAAGATGATATGTGGGCTGAAGATACATTTGTTCCATACTCTGGGGTGTAGGAGGGGCAGGGATGGTCTCTAAGTCTCTGGGGTGCCATTTATAGTTAGCTTGCAATTGTGCCTGAGAAAGTTAGTCCTGGGAGCCAAAGCAACTTGCTTGCTGTAGTGTTTCTGAATGTGCTGCCTGTTTATGCTTCTCACATCAAAACAGCTTACAGAAGTTTCAATTTAATGGGGGAAACAGTGTGATGAAAAATCCTTCTGTTTGAATGAATAACTAGATGGTTTTAAAAATGGAGAATTCAGAAGTTCTAGCCTAGCATAAGAACATGATGGTTGGAAATGTGGGCTCTCAAGCTAGACTCGTTTCAAATCTGGGTGCTCCTGTTTATTAGCTGTGCAACTGTAAGCAAGTTACTCAACTTGCCTGTGCCTCAATCTTGTCATTTGTGCAATGAACATAATAATAGTACTGTTATAATTTGGATGTGAGGCGTCTCCAAAAAGTTCATGTGTGAGACAATGCAAGAAGATTTAGAGGAAAAATTATTAGATTATGAGAGTCTTTTTTTTAAAAGAGAGAGAATTTTTTAATATTTATTTTTTAATTTTCGGTGGACACAACATCTTTATTTTATTTTTATCTGGTGCTGAAGATCGAACCCAGAGCCCTGTGCATGCCAGGTGAGCCCGTTACTGCTTGAGCCACATCCCCAGCCCGATTATGAGAGTCTTAACCCAATGAGTGGATCAATTCCTTGATGGGATTACCTGAGTGGTAACTAAAGGCAGGTGGGGTGTGGCTGGAGCATGTGGTCGTTGGAGGGCATGGCTTTTGGGCATATATTTTGTATCTGGTGAGAGTACTCTCTCTGTTTCCTGATCATCATGTGAGTCCCTTCCCTTAGCCACACTCTTCCACCATGATGTCCTGCCTCACCTCAAACCCCCAAAATGGAGCCTACTGTCCATGGACTGAAACCTCTGGAGCCATGAGCCCCTAAATAAACTTTTCCTTCTCTAAAATTGTTTTGGTCAGGTCTTTAAGTCACAGCAGTGAAAAAGCTGACTAAAACAAGTTCATACACCCATAAAAGTATGTTATGAAAATTAAATGAGTTAAAATTTGTAAACTGCTTTGAATACTGTCTGACACCTATTAAATATATGAAAGAGTAAAATAAACATTTATTCACTGCCTAATTTTCTTAAAATAGAGATTTTTCTCTCTGGTTTCACCTGACTACCCTGGAAAGTAGATACTGTTATTCCTCATTCATTGATATGGAAGTTGAGCCTCAAATAGGTGATGTGACTTCCCCAAGGTCACATAAAGTTGGACACACCTAGATTTTAAGACCAAGTATACCTATGTAATAGCTATTATTATTTAAGAAAGTTAATCTCATCTTTCTGGACTTCAATTTTCTCATCTGGAGAATGTAATCCATAAAATAGAACTCAAAGTGTTCTGAAAATTAAATGAGGTGGAGGGAAAAAAATATTCAGAATGATGCCTGTCACATATACACCAGGAAACTTGAGCTCCTTTATTGCAGAACAACATTCTAAAATCATAGACTATGCATTTTGACGAATAGCACCCTAATTTATACTTGAATTCCTTAAAATCTTCAGATGGATATTGCCTGGTCCTATCCCCC